GTATAACCTACGTATGTACATGTATTATCAGACGCTAATATAGATGCGCATAAATGCAATAGATGTAACAGAACTTTTTCGTTTCGCGGATATAGCAGTGATGTATTTGCATCTTATAAAACTTTCCCACATTCGCATCGCACCGTTGACATATTAATTAATGAGTGAAACATTTTTTAGATTTTTATATATATAATCTTTGAAAAATTGAAAAAAAAAATTCCAATTAAAATCAAAATCGAAGTTAAATAAAATAGAAGATTTCATCGTTACACGTTCTCCTCTGAAATTTTAATTCTGTGCGATGATATTGAAATATTAATACATGCAAGCTTGAGCGTAATAAGGAAATAAATGAAGAAAAAAATGTAACATGCGCATAAATTAATGCTCTGTAGAATTTTATTGGTCGTATTAACAAAGTAATATCTCTTCGGCGTCCCAAGATTAATCACTGGCTACAGCCCTGCAATTTGCTCTATCGTTTCTAATCGAGCATGACGTATCTAATTGAACATTCATGATATTGTCAAGGCGCGCGTGCAACAACCGATGGAGAGAAATAAATGGGTCCTCGCGAGATCGAACTCGCGGTAAATTAAGTAACGTCGATGCGATGCAGGTTACCAGCCGTTTCGCGATGAAAATCGCATTAAAACACGTTTCCCGGCGATGTTTATTACGACACATACTTGCCACGCATAAACCAGCTATCACTAATCCGCGCCGGGAATAACATCGACGAGATAACGCGAAGCATATAGTTGTGATATAGCCGAGTTTTCTATAATTATGCTAAAAGCAATTTGTCGTTTGACATTTATAAATTCATGCTTAATTAAAAATTTGCGTTTTCCCGATATTTTCATTTGAAACTATATAATCAGTCAATTAAAATTATCATATAATAATATGGTCCATATCACAATGGAGTGAATGAATTATTTCTCAATAATGATTTTTCAACACACGAGGAATTCTTATATAAATACCATAGAATTGATACCAATAATTTTTAAAATGCAAAAAATAAAAGATGTAAAACATTTTCTTCATCGATAAAGTTAAAACGTTTTAGAAGGCTTCATCGAGCGCTAACACAGTTACAAATAACTATATTGAACATCTGTTCCTTGTATTAATTTCGTTATCTATATCGTGTAATGCGAAACTGGCTGCAAAATCGACACAAAATGAGAAGTGCTTAGGATCAAAAATCGATACAGTCTCTACTACTTATAGCGAATAGATGCGTTATCTCAAGGGCGTCTATTTGTTTGGCTCGATTAAGCCAAAGAATTTCATGCGTTATCGCGAGGGAAGAATATGAGAGAGCGAGTGCTTAGAGCGACTCCCGACTCCACGGTATGCGAAATTATAGTGTTTACGCGAATTAGATTTCGGTTTCGGTAATTTTCAGTTAATAACGATGAACTGGCCGGCGAGCGAACGCTTAAGTGCGGCCTCGGGCTCCATTAATGCTATTATAATGTAAAAGGCTACCTACACATTCTGTTCTCTCTCTCTCTCTCTCCTTTTCTCTTTTTTTAACATTATTTCTCTCTTTCTACCTCGCTTCTTGCGCGTCGACGAACTCGTAATTGCACTCGTAGTTGTAATGCGTGTGCGTGAACAAAAAGGAAAATCCAGCGAGATTTAGATCTGTTGTGTATTATCGGCATTATATCAGGGCTACCTGCATTATAAGCTCATTTCCGATAAATTGACTCGATTAAAAACTGCTGCTTAAGAACCGCGTAAAACCTCTTCGAGAGGCCCTTTCTATCTTCCTATATCTCACGCCTATTTAACCCTCCGCTTTTCATCGAATCTCTCGCTCGTAGAAATTTACTCGATCAACCGCCGTTTTCTTTAAGGACGAGCAAGAGATCTTACGATATAAAAGTTGCGCGGAACGTGACAGGTATACACTTGTAATGGTTGCGAATTAAGCTGCGTGGAAAATCTAAATTGAGCTAAATTGAATTAACATACATATGTAACGCAACGTATTGGGAAAGAAAAAAAAGAATTTCAATTGCCATACAATAGAATTTATGCAAATACCGTGCATAATAATGGAAATTTCAATACTGTTTGAACTTATAAATGAATATTTGTAACTATCAAGGTTATGAATACATCATACATATATTCGCTTCGCATAATCTATGTGCCATATTATTTTTCTTATGCGTTCTATAATTAGATGTTCTATCATTAGATATGTCATAACAATTTTAAAAAAATTTTATATTTGTTATAATTATCTATACGATTATTTCAAATATTTATTTTGAGTATATTTCAAAAATTGAAGAAATTTAAACTTAAAAATGTATCTTAATATTTATACGTTAGTAGCAGTAATTTTTATTTCGTTTCTCGAAGCCACCCATTTGCGGATCTAGCTCGAATAATTCAGTTACAACTGACAAGTAATAGCGAATGCTGTTACACGATTGCCACGAAACCGGCATCGCGATCATGCCAAGGTGTGAACTCGTAGGAATTATTAATTCCCCTACGAGGCAAAGTTGCAGTGAAAGGAATGATACTTCTGCCGTACACATACATATATGCAAATGTGCGTCAGCTTTTATATTTTAAAGTATTCGTTTATTTTAATCAGCTTCTTTACCTTCAATATGTAGTAATAAATCATATCCAGTAATAAATCATATGTATATTCATATTTTACAGTCTCGTATAGCGTCACATTACATTTTAAAATTAACTTTTCTATTAGAATCTTTTGGATATATCATTTGTATTCAAAAATAGAAAAAAATTAATTCTAGTTAAAATCAGTTAAGTTAAACTAAAATTTACAAAATTGATCTAATGTATTTGATCAAAAAATGTTCAAAATTTTCTCATGTTTGATATACATAAGATTCATTACGTAAAGTAGTTTCATTAAGTATCGCTTTATTCGAGAAAAATTAAAGAAAAATGCATTTAAGTAAGTATACCAAATGCAATGTTTTCATCCTATTTGCCTATACATTACTAATATGATTACGATGAATAACATAGATGCCAAGTAAATTGTTAAATTTTATATTTCTGCGCCACAAATTGCCACGGAAACGCACCGCGTCTTCTCGCGCAAGATATTTTTTTTTAGATTAAATAACGATGCAATGTGCTGAAATTAACCGTGGCAAATTTGCAAAATTCAGCGACAGAATTAAGGGGTCATGTAAGAAAATGAATGGGCGCGAGAGGCGTTTATATGGTTTTGTTCAATTTATATATTGCGCATTGTGTCTGTGAATTTGGCATGATATTCTAAAAATTTTTTAAAATATTAAGATTTATAATAGCACTTTTCATAGCTCGACAGTTCCTAAGAAAAATTTAAAAAAGCTCCATATGAAAAATGAAAACCATTGAAACTCTTAATATTTTTTTGAAATTTTTAGAATGTCATACCAAATTCACAGACACTTGCGCATTAACGTTTATTTTTTTCGATAACATAGCTTGCGTGTATTTGATATGAATTTTTTGCGGACACATGAAAATCGAGACAACACATGTTATAATATACATACCTTATATCAAATTTTAATAATTAAAGATGTACTTACTTCAAAATTTAACACTGTTATTTGTAATAGAATCCTATTTTCCGAAAAACGATATACCCTACTTTTCTACGATATATTTTATTTTACTTTACACTAATCTCTATTTTACTGTCAATAAAAAAATGCCAATAAAAAATTTTATTCTATACAAGCTCGCATATTTAAAAAAAATATTAATATTTGTTAATAAAAGATATTTTTTAAATCTCACATTATATAAATTAGTCGATAATTGTGCAAAAACTTTTCTTTATATATATAATCTAATAGTTGTTTTAATAATTAGTTCAATTTTACGGCAATCTTTTCGTAAATCTTTCTACGAAAACGGAAATTTGAGGCGTGTAAATCCTAAATTCTTAAGCAGTTTATGGTCAGCGTCGAATAGACGTTGTTTAAGATTCACAACGGAAACTAACAAGACCACAATGATTTCCCTAATCGTTCGTGGAATCCAATCGTCGCTGATAATACGGTATGGTCAGCGGATCACGTGACAGAGTTAATGAATCGTTTTCACACTCCGTTCGTGTTTCAATTGCGATTGGATTAACAAGACTCTAACAACTAACTTCCCAGAAATTAAAATATGATGTACACAATCGCACATCTTCATCTTCATCTTGCTAATGTTAATATATGATATATTATATGAGAGATATACAAAATCGTATATTTTAGTATGATAATTTTCTGTATTTCTATTATTATTAATAATAAATTTGAAACGTTGTCTACATTTAACTAAACATTTAATACTTTCAATCATACGGAATAAACTGTAAAATTTTTAAATATTGATATTGTAACTTTGTTACTTTTATCTTTATGCGTAATTCTTTAATAAAAATTCGTAGGATTATTTTGTTCAAATGTATGATTATATTCGATGAAACAATTTATTATAAAATCAAATGAATATCATGATACTAATCTAGATGATCGTTCTGAGGTAGATGTAAATTATAATCTATCATAAATTATAATTATAATATATCATATTTAACGTTGCTTGATTTGCTAAATATTAAGACAAAACTACTCGTCATAAAGTTCGACTCACCGAAACGTTGTTTTCAATCTTTGCTTACGTGTATTGCAGCTTTCGAGTGCTGATCATGCTTTGCGTTGAAGAACTCGCCTGTAATCATACAAAAAGAATACTTACATCAGAATTATATTTTTATCATTATTTATCACATAAGAGATTACAATATTATAATTTATTATATAGATTACAATTATATTTTTATTCTCATTTACTATCATTTATTTTAATATTTATTATATATATAATTTTAAATCATAAATATAATATATATTATATTTATATAATTTATTATATTTATAATATTTATTATATTTGTCATTTATTATATAAGCCACATAAAATTTTTGTTGCAGATCATTCGTTGCGAGGCAACGAGCAGGCTGTCCCGCAGACGAGTCCTGCGAGCAGCACAAGCAGCTCAAGCCAGGTCACTCAGGTGAGCCAGCAACCTCACCCGCAACCTCATCAGCAATCGGCGCCGGCGTCAACGACGACGACGACGCCCCAGTCCACTCAAATGGGCATCTCCACGGAGGAGGTGAGGCCCGAGGAAGAAGGCGCTCATCCGCGAGCGGCGCCAACCAGCCCCGAGAGCGAAACGGAGGCCGACGACTTCGCGCCCAAGAGAAAACAACGCCGTTACAGAACGACCTTTACCAGCTTTCAGCTGGAAGAGCTCGAAAAGGCCTTCTCCAGAACGCATTACCCGGATGTATTTACGAGGTGAGTCGATTCATTTCATAATGGAACTTTCTTTTCATTCTACGCACCGAAGACTCGGACAGAATTTTATTTGTATAATCACAGATATGTGATATAGAAAGACTGTATTATAAACGCTCTAATATTTGAAAAATATTTTTTTATAAATAAATAATTGCATAAGACGTGTTTAAAAAATGTATAACACGTGAATAGCATAAAGTAGATAATTTCAGTTCGAATAATCGAGCGAAAACTAATTGATAGAGCTCTTAATAAGGACACATACTTTCCCTTCTTAAAATAATCTCAAAGACTAAGAGCTTATAGTATATCTCGGGTGCACGGGATAGGAAGCTTATGTATACCTAAGTCCAGACGATAGGCAAGTGTCTATAGCTGCATTTATCAGGCTTCGAGCCTTCAGAATTCGTGCTCGGCGGACTAACGGGATTTAGATATAATGTGAAGACTCGATTATCTGCTGCCACCCAAATATTTGTTTGTCTGGCTCCTGTGCACTCTCCCGGCTTATCATCGAAATCCTTCTCTCTTTCTCTCGCTACTTACTGAATTCTTTTTAAAAATGGTCTCTACCGCAGGACATTTACGATGAGTGCACAGGTAGTCCTTGAGCACGGTTATAAAAGAGATCTGGTTATCCTAAGTGTATCCTACCTGAGACAGTCTCGAAATAGTGATGATCGAATGACGTTTGAAGACACAACATGTATATCAGTACGTCTCTTTTAAAAGATATACGCTTTCTAACTAAAATTCTAAAGTTCTAAATAAAGCGCTAAAAATGAAAAAATTTTCTTCGATAATAATTAATAAAATTAATGCATCGATTTAATTTATATGCAATAAAAATTTAATATCAAAATTTTATGTTTCTAATAGAATTTCATTTTAAGAATAAAACATTTTTAATATATAAATTTTGATTTTAATAAAAAAGAATATTAATTAATACTTCTTTTTTAATATTAATGTTTATATATATTATATCCAATATTCATTAATCTCTCACTTAAATTTTCACATTATTTCATACTTTTACGCAGTATAATGTAAACATATTATATGTAATTTGTCGCAATAATTACATATAAATCATTCAAAATCTCTGACATAAAAGGACTTGTACAATATTTCGCTGCATCAATTGCACATGTTATTAAAAAAAAATTGATGCAAAATCTGAATTGTCTAATCAAATATATAGTCTTGAATAATGATTGTATCATTTTTTAATCTCGATCCGTGGCAGATTCTAAATGAATCACACACATCTATCCCTGTAAATCTGCAAAGGTATCCGCGAGTGTAAATTCGCGGAACGATACATCGATCATCGAGCCTTCTTGCAGCCGGACTGACGATCCTCATGCAAATTCCCATCCGTAGACGCGGAACGGCGGTTTTGCATTATTAAGTCCCCTGCACACTCTCGGGTCCAGTTACATACGTACAGTATATCGCGCCGCCATTGGGCCGCGGCGCAATCTATCTGGGTAGCTTTTTCTTTCCTCTTGTCCTTTTTTCGGTGCCTTCCACCGTGGAACACCCGGTAGGTAACTAATAGCGGTGTAATCGCTCGTAATAGGTCCGGTCCTGCGGCCACGGTATGGGTTCTCGTAATTAACGAAGATGGTGGGGAGAGTATGCAGAGAGAGAGAGAGATGAAACAGGTAGAGTGTTCGTGGTATACGGCTAGGATTGGGGAGAGATGTATTCGCGAATGCGGTGCGAGACACATCATTTATGTGCGTGTATGAAACGAAGATAGATCCTAACGAGCAAAATACGCTGAGTTTATCTAACGAAATTGAAATCGACTCCTTTAGAATTTTAACAATTTTCTCTTGTAATAAAAAAAAAAAAAAAGATTTTTTAAGCGTAAACTCTAATTTATTATATACTATTGTTGAAGAAATGTCAAGTTCTTATTTTTGATCATAAAAAGTTAAATAAAAAAGCTGGAAAATTTAATATATAAATGGTGGAATTACCATTTCATTATTTACCATATAAAAATAATAAACTTTAAAAGTTTCATTCAAAAATTTCGGAATTTAATATCGCATCTCGTGAATATATTTTTTACTTCTAATTACTTATCGATATAACTTGTCTTCATAATCTTCAATCATTATATCAATTTTTATTATGAATATATATGTTCTTATAATGTCGACACCTATTTATTTGTCGCCATAAAAGTTTATTTTTTCCTCCAGAAAACGGTCAATAATTAACTGAATTGACTTCTAATAATATTCATGTCACGTTCATTAATTTATTCCTCGTCCATAGTGGTACACGCTTCCTGCCCGTAGAAAATTGTTCGACGTATTCTACCGTTTCGCAATATAAATTGATCTCCGCTTCTTCCGCCATTTCACCGTGTAGAGGTATTAATTTCACACTAATTGGATTTTATGGTCGCTTAGGTTTATTGACTAGTCCAACGAGAAAGGAAGGAACGAGAAGATAAAGAAAGAGAGTAAACCGCGTCGTGGAGCACGATGCATATTCATTAGGCGCCTGAAGGGCACGCGTGCGATATCGAAATACAATATATCGACGAGCCAAGACGATACTAGGATACGGTTTTAATTTGCTGGATATCCCGAGCGAAAATTCATTTGCCAATAAAAGACACATGTTTTTCCGCGTGGCGGTCTATGTTCGTCCAATTAAATATATTCATAAATATTCATCTCTTATCATGTACATATAAATATTTTTTATCAGTAGAACATACCGGCCTGATGTCAAGTAGACTTGCTTCCAACTTGTCGATCCCCATATAAATATTTTTAAATACATAAATTGTATGCAATTTCTATTTTTTATTTCTTTGTACTTTTACTCGTATCTATGTCTGTCATTTGTCACTTCTTCCTATTTTACTGATAAACAAATTATTTATTATATATGCGAAATGTAAATTAATCTCAATTATTTTATTTTTATATTTCTCTTTAATTTTTATTATTTTTTCAAAGAATCTTCAAATTCAATTTTGTCTGCGATCGATCCGAAACTAAGAGATGACTTCGGACAACTTCGGCGACGGCACGGAATGCCATTTTCAAGCGCGATAACAGATAAGCAAGGGTCTTTTTGGCATTTGCGAGGGAGCGCGCGGATTACCAGATTCGTTCTGTTTATATGGCACTTAAAGCCAGAGAGCTCGCCACGTAGCCTCGCGAGAGAGCGTGGCCACTTACCTTCACGGACTCTTAAGATCTAATTTAGATTAGAGTATTGCGATTCAGGTTCGCGCTGCTACCGACGACGGCGGTGTCGAGCCCGACCGCACTAATCGTTCGACCGCGAGCGGTTCCGCTAACCAGTCTCGGTGTCCCTGTTGATTTTAATTTTTTTTATTTCGACTAAATTCTAGGAGAGAGAGAGAGAGAGAGAGCGAAAGAGAGATATATAAAAAGAGGAAGAGAGAGAGAAAGGAATGAGAACGGACGAGGTCCCGTCATCGCTTCGAATGTCCGCCTGTAGTCTTTCTGGCGAATGACTTGGCTAATTAATAACCTCGTAAATGTTACGGTGTATTACGAGCAAAACCTTATCGTGCGATGTTTATGCGAGATGATTCACTTATTGTACTATTCGTGTGTAATGATTTTTTCGATATTATTTTTCATTATAAAAGATGTATAGACGTAAGTCGAATTATTGGAGTTTAATTATACAAATCGAGATGCTGAAAAAAAATGAAGTGGTCGTATGAAAAAATTGTGAAATGATTCTCCACTTCTTAATTACTCGATTCAAGCGCCATTTCATCCCGAATTCGCTCCCAAAAGCTGACTCGGCGGAATCGCGAGAGCGGCCACCCTTGTCGCGCGCGTTCTCAATCCATCTACATGGGTGAATCCATAAAATTTATCGTCGGTTTGCGTCGCGTTTCGAGGGATCCACCTGTTCAAAGGGCCGCGCGACGCGCTTCTCAGTAAATCATTCCGAAGGATGCCTTTATATCCGCGGGGTGGGCTAGTGGTGAGTTTAATAAGGATGATTGTTTCCAGTGATCCATGGAACGGAACCAGTTCTACGGAGCGGTCTCTTCTTCTGCTGCTTCATCCCTCCTTCCGCTTCTTGCGTCCTCCCTTTCCCTTCACCCTCTCATCACCGCGATTCTCTAGCCATCTTCTGGCTCTGCCGTGTTCGCTTGTGTCCCGCAACTTCTCCTGTCATTAATCGACCGACGGCGAGTCATGCTCCGATTAGATCGATTAGAAACGCTGCCGACCCGTTATTCGTTTCTCAACAAATAAGATTAGTGCCTTCCGGAGTTAATTAGTGAACGTTGTTGCTATGTAGGGTCCACGGAAGCGGCATTGGATCTCTTGTCCGTCACGTTAATCAACGACGTAAATTCGATACCGCTTTCATTCCGTTTTCGATCGATCATTGCTTTATCACGGGAGAATAATGTTTGGACTAATAACACCTAGCACAAGTTATGCGATAGAATGCCACGCGGCATTTTCCTCTTTTATATACAATAAAAGTTGATGATCATTTTTTTGCTCTGATTATTTTTAATCCAATTTTTTTTACCATTAAAAACATTTTTATTTCTCTCGATATTCTCGAAAACGGCGCAACGACTCTATTGTCGAGGAAAACGAAGGGTTTCCTCATCTCGCGAAGGGACTAATACCACCTAGCACAAGTTATGCGATAGAATACCACGCGGCATTTCCTCTTTTATATACAATAAAAGTTGATGATCATTTTTTTGCTCTGATTATTTTTAATCCAATTTTTTAGTATTAAAAAAAATTGTGTATTTCCCTCGACATCCTCGAAAACGGCGCGACGACTCTATTGTCGAGGAAAACGAAGGGTTTCCTCATCTCGCGAAGGGACTAATACCACCTAGCACAAGTTATGCGATAGAATACCACGCGGCATTTCCTCTTTTATATACAATAAAAGTTGATGATCTTTTTTTTGTTCTGATTATTTTTAATCCAATTTTTTAGTAT